ACATATATGTTATGGCGAATATTATTATTTATTTGACTTTTACCCATTCTAGTTAAAAACCAAATTTTGAGTCCAAAGTTAAAATTTTAGAATGAAAATGGCAAAAAGGAGGGAAAATTCGAACGGTTGTAGGTTAAGATGGAGAGTTGGTGTTCGAGAGGATCGAAGTCGCGACATCTCAAGTGATAGAATAACGGCGTATTTAGCCGAAGGTCGTGGGTTCGAATCCCGCTCGTGACACTGACTTTTTTTATTCCAACGAAGACCTTACTTGAAAAAAATAATTGAAAGATGTAACTAGGCCAATTGACCATTAAAACGTAAATGAGTTAGAATTTTGTTCAAAAAATGAACTAGGCCAATTTCTATTTAGAAAAAGAAAAGCAACAGGCAAACAATTGCTAATAAATAATTGGCATTCTATTTTGTGTCTGGGCGTGATAAATCTTCTTAAGTAAAACTTTTTAAATTGTAAAATATAATAAAAAAACGACTCTGTAAGAAGATCAGTTGTTTACGAAGCTTTCACAATTAAAATAAAGCTCTAAGGAGAGCCACTCACTGCATTAAATTCACGTAATCTAAATTCGTCTAATTTAAACGTGCATAGGAAAAGTAATGCACGATATTGGATTAAGATTTGGATTCATGTAAGCTCGAATCTGCACATGAAATGTTCGTGGATGTATGTGTGTGCACTTATTTTTAGGGACGGTTGTTCAATAATTGGAGTCGTGGTGGTCAGGAATGAAGTATTTTAGAAAACACCTTTGTCCATCTTTTACTTTTATTGGGGTCATATTCAGGGCCTGGGTGAATTACAAAACTCGTTGATTGGAAAGAAAAATACAATACAGACGTAAATATAAATTATGAATCAACTATTTTCGTCGAGATCGTTAGACAGGTGAAAAAAAGAAGACTAAATGCTTTACGCATTTTGTAATAAAATAGGCCCTGATGATAGCACTATAACGTGCCGAAATTTCGGTGAACCCGGCATTTAGTCTTCTTTTTTCATCCGTCTAATGACCTCTACGAAGATTGGAACTCTACATATGAATAAACTATTTCTATGTGGTGCTATTCTTGTAATGTGATGTTTGTTTCATGTGAAATTGTTGTGAAACGTTAATTTATATTCTGCTGTTTTTATATTATTGTGACCTGGTGGGGAACGCGGTAACCTGGAAAATTTCTTATGTACTTATATGCTACGTATACAGAGTTGAGCCTATTTCTTCTCGCAGTTTACCGCCAAGCTTTGTAATTTATCGTAGATTTCTGGCAGGACGTGCTCAAGCACAATTTCTTACGCGCTCTCTATATGGAGCCAAGGGACTGCATCCTCAATCAGGTCGTAACACATCGTGCAACCTTTCTCTGCATGCCGGACACATACATGAACTTTTGGACAAATTAAGTCTTCTATGAGTCAGATCAATGCAAAATATTAATAGCGTAATTCTCATAGTTAATAGATTTTTCTGTGCTAAGGGTTTTTTAGGGTGAGAATAGATTGACCCGTTAAAAAAATTAATAACACTAAGGATCAATCTTGTAAGAAAAGAAACCTAAGAAAAATTAAACCCTTTAAAACAATAGTTATATATAAATTCATAGTTAATGAACAAACTTTCCTAGGCAATTTTTGAAAATTGATATTAGAATTATCATATTTGACGTGAAAAGATTTTGTTTAGTTTGATCATTTTTTTCTTGAAATCCCAAAGATTCCTGCTCCGGTACAATCCTAAGTTTATGACATTTACTTTGTTCTAAGGACCAAAAAAGTAACGGAGTTCTATTTTTATGATATCTATGTATATTCGTATGTCTAATACTCCTACACGGAACGTCGATCATTTTTCGGACTTCTATCATCGCAACACGATGACAAGGAAGCTCGTCCTCTCGTTCATGACTTGCGTGCGAAGTCGACACGTCGCCAATCCCGTTTGTCAGCGAGTAGAAAAAAAAAGGCAAAAGTTGACTCGGCTAGCTCTAAATTCTTCCAAAAAGCGATGACGATTGACACTTAGCTAAAGAATGAAAAAATACAAACCGAGGGTGAATTTTTGAGAGGTAGGTCTTGACTCGGCGAGTCTTGCTTAAACACTGGTGACAGGGGCAAAACGCGGCCCCGCGAGACGGGAGGAATCGATCCGCGGTCACGTGGCTCATTGATGAAAACGGTTCAACTTTTGTCAATTGGGGGAGAAAGCCGGCTTCGCGGCCCCACCGGTGGAAAGTTTATTTTAAGTCGTTTGACATTACTTACTCTCGTCTCGACTGTCTATTGTTTTGACCGGGAAGTTTGATCGAAACCGGCAAACTTTGGAGTGCTTCTTCGGACGAAGTCAACAAGTAACCGAATCTATGTTTAACCCGGTTGCTTGTTGTAAAGCTAAGTTCAGACTTTAAGCAATGTTTGCAATGTTGTGCAACAGCTCAACTTCTTTAAAAGATTTTTGCAAAAGAAGAAAAGCTGTGTTCCTTGCTGCATGGACGATAAGCAGCAGTCCGCTTGTCACTTTGATCAGTAGATTGAAGGAGCATTAGAAGAATATCCTTGATTCAATGTAACCTCCGTCCGTTTATCCTGCGTATTGCGGTCAATACATCTACCAATTTAACCTAAATTCACCTTATGAATCCATTTTTGTCTTTTCATCGTGTTTCTCATATAGGTGCTTGATCCCGTCCACTGTTAAATATTAAGGTCATTATAGTTAAAACCATAGATTAATTTGTAATTATTGATTCATAGTCCTGAGTAATGGGGCTGTATTCCTCGAAAGTTTGACGAAGGAACTGAATGTTTTCTTTCAAATTCCCTGATTTTTAATGTAAAATTCGTCGTTCGATCAACAGTGGATCTCGAATCGACAATATTCATTTCGTCTTAGGATCGAAATAATGGAACATCCTTTGGACTATTTCATGAAAACCGATACTTTTGGGCTTTGTAAGCTCTGGGATTTAAAATTGCGCAATTCTATGATATATTGGTTTAATTAAATTATAATTTTGTTTTGAAAAGGACGAATTTAATTTAGAATTTAGAATTATACCGTGAAAGAACTACATCATCATGATGAGAAAAAACTCCATTGAAGCGACGAAATAGCTGTTCCAATCAACAGCTAAAATAAAAAGTGACGAACTAGGAAAATCAGTTCGTGTTTTGATATCAATTTCTTTTGAGGAAACTGAACTCGAGAAATAGATAATCGATAATGATCCATGATCGTACTAGTTTACACATGGCATGTACTGGTTACATGTCAAATACTCAATTTTGGATGGTGGAGAAATTCTTTCGTTTTAAGGAACTTACATTGTATAAACAACAATCTTCACGACAGTGCAACATCTTTAAAGTTATTTAAAATCTCGTGATCCCGGGCAAAAATAACCCTTACCCTCACGTAACCCCCACGAGAATAAATTCTCCGCGGTATAAATGTAAGCTTTACAAGAAACAAGAGCGTTTTCCCGGCTAAAAATACCCTGTGCTTTTGATCCAAACGGAAATAAACAAGGAAAACCGTCGTAGCTGCATGACTCAGGAGGGATTAGTGACGTTTACATAAATATCAATCACTAAGCTGCACGAAAAGAGAATCCAGATGCATTTTTTCCGTCTGGAATTAGAAAATTAAACCTTAACCATTTTTACCAACGAAATCCTTAAAAAAAATTACTTCGAATGTGGATAAATAAAACCCACCACTGAAGATGGCGAAATGCAGAAAACGGCAGACCGAGACAGCGAAGTGAGACAGGAAAAATAAGGAAACCAGAAAACTTAAAATTAAGTAGTTAAAACATAATGAGAAACCTAAAAATGAGCTTATTCTGCAAGTATACTTATACTAATACACTAGTAAATCGAAATATTATGTTATGACTAAAATCACGGGACTTGTACTGATCTTTGAGGTATCGGGTGGTTTGCAGGTTAGGGCGTAGAAAAAAAAACATTAATTATTGAAAAGTTCTATTGAATTATTCGACTGTGATAAGAAAGACTCAGTAGGGTATTTTCACACAGATTAATGCAAAAACCGGCATTCAAAGGGGCGATTCCTCTTTTATGGCCAGAACAAAAGCGAAAAATACGAAAGATTCATTATGATGACTCCTTACACGCGTCTTGAAAGATTAATCGATACCTTCGCGGGTGTATTATCGTTTTATCACGTTGCTTGTCATGAATTACTGTTTCGTACTACGTTACGTTATTGAGAAATAGCTTTCAGGCTTATTAAAAAAATGGTCTTCCAGCGTAATTAACTGATGACCCTTTTCTGTGCCAGCTGATAAGCTTTTCGGGGTAAACCGTTAAATCCGCAATAAAACCTATTTGGCCGGTTCAAGCTGCCTGCCGTTAATGAATGCCTTGGTCAATTTTAAATCTTCGCCTCTCGTCGTCAATCTTCGTTCCAGGTAACTGTGCAGGTTAAACCAGAGGGTGAACTCTTCCAGAGAGTTTGACATCGGCGGGGTTGACAAATATTTTTCGATTGAAACATTTAATTTGAGTTCTTTTTTATATCTACGGGTGAAGTACTTTGTTATCTAGCGATGTGCCATCATCCTGGTTGCCCTGGTTTGGTCAATCTGCGGCTTTTCGCCACAAAAGCGTTACTGAATATGGCACACCAGGATGACCAGAAACAACCAACCTTCTAGTTTAATTGTGGTGAACTCATTTCTCATTATGTCAAAATTACATAACAAAGTTGGTATATCATTGTGACGATAAAGTTTAATCGTTTGAGGTACAAAAACGATCTCATTAACGGAAACGTTTGACAAAAGATTGTGTTAAATTGAAAGGGAGATGGCCTTGGATCGTCTCGTTTGTAAGAAAGAAAGGGATGAAATAGATTGTAAAGAAAATAATCGATTTTGGAAACACGTTGAGGAGGACGAACACAGAGCGAGGAAGGTCGTGATTTGGTAAACAATCCGTTTTAACGGTTTGGGGTTACCTGATTGGCGTGGAAGTTGAGAGACATTTTGGCTCGGCGGTCACATCCTGAACGGCGATGAAAAGTCGTCCGGGTTGGGTGAAACCTTCTCGGAGGCGCTGGTTGACGACTAGGTCGTCGGAGGTGGAGGCGGGGGCGGCTGGCTGTCCGGAGGCCGGGGCGGCGCGGTTGCCATGGCCGCCGTTTCCCAACAAAGGGCCACCCGGCCCGGCCCTGTTTTGTCAATGCCCGTGCATCCCCCACCGTACGCCTTTCAACTTCAGGAGTCAGGACATGACCTGGTCAAAGGAGGCGAGAAAACAGTTCCTCTACCGCCTCCGAACCCGTCTACCCTCGGCCTGATGAGGTGGATAATCGTTAATTTTACCCATTCTAATGCCAGCAGAACACGCATATCTCGGCACTATGAAACATAGTTTACGTCTTAACACACCAATCACTCCTTCCATAAACGAGAAAGCATTTTTGATATTGGCACTTACTAGACGCTATGCCAAGTATACAAACGTGTATCTCATAAATTACGGTTTGCCTGTCCTGCCGGACGTTTTTCGCCTTTCGGCTTCTACAGTGATGGGTTTATGTTCAAAAAACTGACGGTTCGAATCCCTGCCTACTTAAAGTATTTTCAACATTAAATACTTGGGCATTTGCACAACATAAAACTTTCTTTTCTATAAGTTTCAACATGCACACCCTTTTGATTATGAAATGGCAACCAACAAAATCATGTAAGATCCCAACCAGCAACATTTTATAAGAATTTGTCACTTTATTAACTGTTATGAATATTTGATTTTCACCGAATTACAAATATATTGTAATTGGGTGAGAGTACAATGTGGTAAATATGTCTAAAATATGGTTGAAGGTTGCCAATGAAAATTTAAACCCATTTAACAAAAAAATTATGCCAAAGAGTCTTTTATCAGTTTACTTTGTATTATTTTTGTTATTTTTTCATAGAAGTTTCATCATATTAATGACTAATTGTTTAAAACCAAACATAACCAAAAAATCAAATTTTTAGCAATTAAATGGCCTTTGGAATTTGGCCTTTGAGAAATTAAGTCATTAGTTAAAATAAAAGGTAAATTTTCTGTAAGCATCTTTCAGTATTTATAGAGCCAAGAAAATCTTATTTAAACATTAGACTAGAACTCTGGAAACTCGTAAAAGTTTATTCCCAAACTGATTTTGTGCGCGTTATACTTCAAAAGCTGCCTTCCTGTATGAAAACAGTATCATTGTACCGGAGCAGTTTGGTTTCAGGCCAGGACTATCTACCATTGTACAATTCTCCAGGATAGTATATGACATAATGCTAGCCATTAATCTAAGCAAGCATAATTTCGTGGTTTTGGTAGATATCCGAAAGGCCTTTGACACTGTTTGGCATAATGGTAAAGTCAGTAGGATGGTGCAATATAGTTTCTTCTCTACTTACACAATAAAAATGGTTAACTCCTATCTCTTATCCAGGCAATTCCGGGTTTCCTTTCGATCATCCCTTTCCCAACCGAGAGACATTGTTACTAATGTTCCACAAGGCTCTATCCTCGGACTCATCCTGTTTCTTGTATATTTCAACAAAATACTTCGCCCTAAAGGCTCTGCCAAACAGAACGCGAACGCAGGCGGTCCCTTAACATATTTAAGTCGGCGAAGAGAATTTTTTAAATTTGGAAAATATGTTAATTTTTTTAAAGATAAATTTAAATGGTATTAAATGATATTATAGCTGTGATAGACTTTTGGAGTGTAGTCCTTTCCGAACGTTGTCTATCAGACGCGTTTCGACTACAATGTGATTTGCAACCAAAATTATAATTGAAAACTGAAGATGGCGAGAAAAGGAAACGCATCCAAAGCCAAAACCGTTAGACAAAAAAGATCTAACTTCTATAAAAAAGATAAAAATCTATCAAGGTTTTCTTGCTTTTACATATCAGTACGCACTAGCGAGCCTCTGTATACGCTTTTGAAAATTTTCTTGAAAAATGTCTGTCGCTGTTATTTATTTCATTGGAGGGTGCATATCATATAATATTGGTTTTAATAAAAATAGTGAAGAAAGCTAAAAAAACCCAAGGTTTTTTGTTATGACAATTTAGGCTAGATTCCATTGAATTTATATTTAATAGACACATATAAAGAAAGCAATTATGAGTAGTATAGTAATAATAAATATAATAACTAAATAAGGATAGCACAAATAAACTTTTAACTGCTAAATTTTTTGACAGGGCTGAAAATGTGTCGGACATCATGTTAAAAAGAATTGGGGAAAAATAAGCAAAATTCGTCCGTTCAAAATTTGCACAAAGGTCTGATATCTTTCACGATTATTAAATTTTCATTAGTTATGCCCTTATTTATTATATTTGAATGCATTTTGACAATAGATATGTTTTGTGCTTTCATCTATTTTTTTACTGCAACCAGTACGTTGTAGGCCAGTTATTAAATAAGCCCCAAAAAAATGAATTTTCTTCGGTATAATTAGCGGCTAGCTAGTCATTTGTAAAACTTGACTGAGTTTATAATAGATTTGTGCTAATTTCGCCTCAGTTTTAATAAATAAATTAATCTGTTTAAAACTCCTTCGGAACTTATTTTCCCCAGTTTAAGAACCGATTAAGTTTGGGTAAGTGAAGAAGAGCAATCAGTGAAATAGGATTTGAACAATTGACATGGAATGAAGCTTGTAATTCGCCAAGTCACGTAAATCCCTGGGCTAAATTGAATTTACACGGAAGACTCCGCAAACTTCAAGTCTTTAATTACAAGTTGAAAGTTGCAAGTTGCAAACATTAATAGAATTTTTTCACTTTTACTTCAGTTGAAAATTTTTCTTTTTATTGTACAACCTTTCAATCAAAACTAAACGCCTTTTTCTAGTAAATAAATAACAAAACAAATATAAAAAATTAGCCTTTTTATGTAAGGTCTTGGTTGAGATAAAAAAGTCAGTGTCACGCGGGGGATTCGAACCCACGACCTTTAATACGCCGCTGCTCTACTACTTGAGCTAATATATATATACACACATATATATATTACCCACGTCTCTCTCTCTCCCTGTGTGTGTGTGATATAGAATGACAAATAGATACATATACGTATGTAATAAATGATAGAATGAAAAAATCTAAAAACAAATAAATGAATTATGATCTACAGCGGTAATATATCAAGAAAGTGTAAAATATATTCTCTCCTTTGCTTTTCATAAAACTTAAATTCATAAACCAGACCTTTTATATATCCAATCTTCTCTGGTGTACTCTACCATTGTACCCCGATTAGATCCATCCATCAGATTTATAAAGTCCTATCTTGACAACACTGCATCCAAAGTACCGGCTGTATCCGGAAAGGATAGGGCATATCGCAAAGAAGTGAAAAGCTTTCCGATTACAAAGGAAACAATCTTTTGAGACCTTGTAGGGCTTAAAATTCAGGATTAGTAGTTCTCCTCCATAGCTCTAATAACCGTCCAATAGAACTTCTTTTCAAACTTTTCATATTTTTACCCAACAAGCTTGCACACCTCAAGTTTCAGTTATGTATAGCAACCCTGGACAGTAAATCATTTCTTAGGGAATCCATATAACATCAAGGAATCAAGCGGCTTTTTTGGGCCACCAAAATCTAAACTAGAGTTCTTGTACTAACGTTTTCTTTGGTGAAGACCGAAATAACCCATTCTTCAATACTTAACGACAAATAATCCACATCCAGTAAATATGAAACCCCAAAACTTGTGAAGCGTAACAAAGTATTAAAGAATTGCTCGGGATAGTAGGTAGTTTGCAATTAAGAGGATTGAAGTCAAACTTAGCGTTTTTGACTGTTTCTTTCATATGGCTTCTTAACCTTCTATAGCCCAATGTAGTGTTAGAGCAAGACGCAGTTTAGCAATTTTGTTAAATGGCTAGCGGGAAATTCCGTGAAATAAATCAGTGTTGCCAATACATGGGCAGAAACTGCAGGAACTGTTTTAGTACTGCGTCCGTCCTAAGATGACGGGGTTCTCTACTAACCTTAACTAAAATTGCTAAAGTTGGCATTGCTCTGAAGCAACTTTGGGCAAGAAAGGGTTAAATTATTGTTAAACTGGATATGAAGAAAATTTATGTTTGTATAACGATCGATACTAGATTGGTCGGAACCATGTTGGAAAAGAAGATTTCAAGATGGAGAATTTATATTGGCGCAAAAAAAGTCAGTGTTGCCAAAAGCACTGCACCCGCTCTAAACTCATGGGATTAGCTATGCTTGGCAAAGTAGGGTAACTTTGAGCAAGAAAGGGTTAAAGGATAATTTAGAAGTGAGAGTGACCTCCAAACAGTTGTATTCAATGGTCACAGTGGAACTATTGTTTTGAGATAGGAACATCAAAAACCTCATGCAGATTCATTCAACATTCATCTGCATGAGGTCTACCTCCAATCGGAAATACAAGAATTTTTGATTTGTCTAAGTTAACTTTCAACCCCAAAGCTCGCAGTATGATTCTAAATTGTCGACTTTGATTTGACGATCTTCTGGGCTTTCTGCAAGTATGACAATTCCATAAAAATAGAGGAAAATTTACCATTTACCACATCTTTGTTTTGCTAAAGGCTAGCCAGCCAATTCGAATAATATTTGAAGTTTTTACTCAGGTTCTTAATAATTAATTTTAATAGGTGAAACTTGGACACACCTTGTGCTATTTTTCCATGGTATATTTCTTATTTTGTTTCCATTACAGCGCGAACAGGCATTAAAAATGTTTTAAAGGGCTGAAATATGACACAACCACCTTCCATATGCGTCGTGGGCTCGAGGGGTGACAATCCCGAATTGCGATTGGCTGGCGCGGGGGTGGGATGCGGACGGGGGATGGACCATCGATGCTGGGGGCGGCATCGGCCACACCCTCCGACCCGGCAGAGGATCTCCGTCCCAGCATCCTCAATCATCATTCTTTCCTCGGGTCACGAGTTGAGCGAGACATTCACCTAGAGAGTTCAGGAAATCTGCGGAACTGGGGGAGATATACCAATTCAGCACCGGTCTCAAGGTACTTCATTTTTGTTAAAATTCTTCATTTGCATTTCCCGCGACTGACGATTGTCTCAAAAAGCATATAATATCAAAAATTGTATGAAATAGTTATAACTTAACTTCCAACAATGGATTATCATCTAACATAAATCCATTTACGTTGTAGTCAATTATTGACCAAGTTACTTCTTTCAATTAATTATTCTTTCTAAGTAAGGTCTTGGCTGAGATAAAAAAGGTAGTGTCACGAGCGGGATTCGAACCCTCGACCTTCGGCTAAATACTCCGATGCTCTACCACTTGAGCTATCGTGACCTCGATCCACTCGGACACCAACTCCCCATTTCAACCTCACCTTTTGAATTTTCCCTCCTTTATGCCATTTTTCAAATGCTGTGTAATCAGGATTGGATTACCTCAAGTGGTAGAGCGTATTTAGGCGAAGGTCATGGGTTCGAATCCCGCTCGTGACACTGCCTTTTTTTATCTCAGCCAAGACCTTACTTAGAAAGAATAATTAATTGAAAGATCTAATATAATTTTTTCTCTCTTCATAACGAATTAATCTTTAGCTTTTTACTAAAGATTTCCGTAGAGAGGGACTCATTAATGATTGAAAAATAGTCTGCAAAGGATATTTTTGTAGTGCCTTAAAAAACAACAAATAGTTAAGTCATAGAAAATCTAGGCAAATAGATCTGATAATTATGGTCCGTTCCGCATGCCACTTACTTAAGTAGTGTCGGTGCAATTTGTCTAAATAGCACTCACCATAGTTACCATAATGATCAAACTACTAACATATTACTCACAAATCCAACCATTAGTTTAAAAATTATGTATATAAAAATATATAAACAAGACAGGCATCAACCTTGTGATGTTCATTGGCACATAGGGATAGGGATAAAAGAAGAGGCTTCAAGATCTTCTGCCTTGACCTGACTAGATATATTTTGCTTCTCTATTTTTATTACTTTAAGAATCTAGAAAGACCCTCACAAAAACTTTATTGTATACAAATCCAAGATATTCTTACATTAATACATTACAAACGCCTTTTTTACCTTTATCTAGCTGTAAATTTAATTTACATTATTGTCTTCTAAATTAATATATACATTTTCAAGCCATATCAGCTTTTTTGGGCTATTCTCCCTTGCAACTATTTCCACCTCATCAAATATCAACTTATGGTTATGGTTTATAGCATGTTGAGAAAACCCTGTCGCTTATTGCTAATTCTGTTTTTTACAAATTTTACGGTCTTACCAATATATGATTTATCGCAAAAGCACATAATTTTGTATAACTGTAAATCCTTTTCTATTTCATTTTTTATTTCTGGAGTAAACTTTTAACATTATTACCCATATAGCAATAATATTTATTGTTTTTGAACACAGCTTGTTTTTTTTTAAATTATTTTTAATATGCATACGTAAGACCTGGTGCATTGCAACAACCAACAATGTTAAACTACAACCATCACCATTTTCTTATCGTTAATGTCCTTATTGTCAACCTTTGCATTATTGTAAAAAATAGGTTTTTGTTTTCTAATGACATTTTTGATCAAATTATCTGTATATACAAGTTCATATTCGATGAGGTGGAAATAGTCGAAAGGGAGAATAACCCAAAAAACCTAATTTGGCTAGAAAATGTCTATATTATATTAGAAAAAATAATGTAAGGTAAAGATAAAATAGTTAGACAATATGAGAATATCAGGGATTTTATATAGAAAAGAAAGGAAAAAACAAGGATACTAGTTTTATATATGAAATTGGAATAATTGAAAAACATTCACACTTTAATTTCCCTAATTGTTTTAAAAATTTTAGTTATCACTGAAGAGGTTTGGAGATGTACGAGTCGCGAATATTTGTTATATGCAAAAGAGCTGGTTGTTATCGTTACAAGTTTTTAACAAACCAGACCATTGATCGTTTAAATATGGATAATTTTATAATTTTTAAGTTCAACGTAATCTCACGAAATAATTTAAAGTAGACGATGACCAAAACAGTAGATGTTTGACAAACTTAATGAGAATTACTTCCAAATTATCTCAATTTTTGCCGCATAGATTAAGACTGAGTTTATTATTGCATCAAATAGCCTCAATTTAGTGCCCAAGAATCGAACTTAGAAGTAATTAGGATTCTTACATTGGCAGATCCTAAATTTGCTTTTGAAAGAAAATTACATATTCTATAGTCGAACTGTTAAATTAAAGGGTTTTGAACAGTATTGTATTAACTCACTCGTAAAATATTAAACAATTACATTATCGGTCATAGTCATGTTATTCGTTATTAATAAATTGATTAACTTTGAAATTGCCTTCTGAAATTTAACTAACTTATTGATGTGAGTGTTTCATGAGATGACAAAATACATTTTGAATTAATTAATAACAAAATACAAAGCATAAGAGAAGGGATAGGGATAGGGATAAAAGAGGCGGCCACAAGGCCTACTGGACCTCGACCTGAATTGATCTATTGTGTTCCCCTGTGTTTTATAACTCACTGGCCAGCTTCAGGTTCTTAGCCAGCCTCCACAGCTTTGCTAGCGGCTCCTTAGTTAGGATCTTCCTTGTGGTTTTTCTTGTCCTAGTTGCAAGAACCTGCACCTACATAGACCTTCACAGAAACATAAAATGTGTTTTGCGGTCTACTCCACTTCTTGGCAGTATCTGCACAGTGTTTCTTCTGTCTGTACGCCTATCCGGTGCATGTGCTTTCTTCAGGCCAGTGCACCAGATCCTGTCTGCATATACGGGGGAGGGTGTATGGCCGTCTGTACCACGGGGTAACCGATGCACAATGCGGGGCGGACCATTCGGAGTGGACAAGCGGAGAGCGAGGTTGTCTCGGCCCTTAGGGGCTGGGGCGCCTCTACACCAATGCTGCGACGGTAACACCATTCCGTCGTATGCGGAGGTGCGTCAGCTCTCATCTTGAGAATCAAAACGTCCGATAAGGCTGAATAGGCCAGGTGCGGACGCTAAAGATCTTCTTGTCTTGTTGACGATGAGTTGTCGGGAACGAACTGCCCTGTCAGGAGTCCAACCAGAATCCTGGTTCGGCTGCGGTCGCCTTCCAGTAATTCTTTTGTAAGTTTTGCGGATGGTCCTTCTATGAATCTCTTCGCGTGCCTCATACCTGTGGTATTGTTCCACCAGGTTTCGGACTCATTAAGGATCCATTTTAAGATTTATCCTCTTTTGTGGCAGGCTGCTAGGCCGCAGTAGGGTACTGGATCCCCCATTAGAGAAGAGTCAAAAGGATAGAAATGATGAATGGTGGAGTGAGTGCGGTGTTCAGTTCTTAAAAAAAATATATTAAAAAAATAAATAAAAATAAATAGTTCCCACTTACAGTAAGTAAAAGTACTTGTTTGCTCATTTTGAGTAAGTGGAGGTAATACTTACTGTAAGTATGTACTTTCTTTTTTAAAAAGGAGTCAAAAGTATGTTATAGCAATGAAATATTAAGGCACGTTTTGCATTGCTCAAGCGACTTTATTTTTGGCTAATATATCGATCGACACTAGGTTGGTCGGGTGAAAAGCCAGAAGGAGATAGAAGATTTCATGATGGAGAATTTATATTGGCGCAAAAAATCAGTGTTGCCAATACAAGAGATGATTGAAGGAAAAGCACTGCGCCCGCCCTAAACTCATGGAATTAGCTATGCTTGGCAACGTTGGGAACGGCGGGCAAGAAGGACTAAAGGATAATTTAGAAGTTTTTCAATTCTAAAACATAATCATTTGATCCAACACGTTGACTTTCACACCCGTTGCTGACCTATTAAAAAACGGGACTTCACTCTGGATGAAGTTTTATTTATGGCTTTATTTCTTTAATATCTTGCCGTTGTACAAGATGTAGAACACCTGCGAAGGACGAGCTGGCGACCCCCCCGCGGTTGTATCAGGCGAATTCAAGACAAAACAAGGACAGCACCACGCCACAAAAACTTTCCCTGAGGGAGATATATTAGTAAAATCAAAGCCGCTTTTGGAGATGTGCTTGCACTGCCATCTTCACCCCCGCGTCCCCCGAGTTAGAAAAGACACCCTAACTGTAGTACTGACCCGCTAGCACCACCGCCACCATGGACCCAACCACAAGGAAGCACGACAACCCATGTCCGCGCTGTACTTACTGTTAACTTTAAATATTTAAATTACATTTTTTATCAATTTAAATATCAATTTTTAAATCAACAAGTTTCTTGAAGCTATCCTAGTCCTCCCTTCGTCTATTTATGTTTTAAATAGTAGGGATGACATTTTATGAACTATATTCGTCTGACCCAAGCGCAGAGAGGGTTTTTAAAACTGTACTGATTGTAATTGAAACAATACATTTATACACTTTTTCTAATTTTGATATTTTTGATAGGCTGTAATGGCTACATGAAACTTGGCGTGTGCTAATCAGAGTGATTCTATCAAAACGGCATTGGAGGGTGCAATCCATGTCTTCCTTGTACATATTCTTCCAGTTCTCGTTCTCTTGCGTTCTTGTTGTCACTCAACAGAATCGTTTTTGCCCAATACCAAAAACATCCTTCTGTTGTAATTTAGTCGACACGACGGCCTAGCGTTCAGGTTTTATCTTATAAATAGCGTTTAAGGGGTCCGTTTTATTTGATCTACCTGAAGTTTTCCATGATAGGAAGTTCTATTTTCAAACCGTACAATTCTATTTCTAGATAATCACTGTTCTACGATAAAAGTGACTGACGGAACACTTAAATCCCATATGCTGCTGAAGGCGATGACTTTCCGCATATTTAACCGGACAATAACACAAAACCCGTGGGGATCCGATGATGGCATATTGCGTCAATCGAGGCCGGCCCGCAGTGCATGACTCGGGGGAAGGAAAACAGCCCGACCCTCGACTTTATTAATATCTAATAACAGATGTTTACATGCAACACGAGGGGGGGTGAGATAAGACAACCGAGAAATCTCCCTTTTTTTTCCTTTTAAACGCGATTGTATGCTATTCCCCTTGGGGGAAAAACAACCTCGGCTTGCTCTGTTTGTTTACATTTATTACGTAATTTACCTAGCATTAATGTAATATATTTTTAGGAGATGGAGTGCATAGAAGATATGTTTCCGGTCGTGGACTCCACCCGGCACGACCGAGATTACCCGGCCATCATACACCGAAAAAGGTATGAAAAAGATTAATTTATACAATATAACAGTAAATGAAAGGGATGAAAGTCCCTTGCCTAGGCTACTCCCTTTTCATACATTGTAAATTTACTCGGATTTTCAGGGATTACATTAGATTAGGTTTGTTATGATATTTCCATCAGGTAACAGTACTTCGCTCTTTCACATTTGAGTTATAGCTCGATATCTCACTTAAGGCTTTTTATTAGTCTTCGTAGCCTTGATTCTTCTTATTAACTTCTCAGTTACATTTGCTGCATTGAACATTTCGTTTCTTGTGAATAGAAACCTTTCCCCAGTCTGGCCAACACATAACGTGCAATATGTACTACGGCCCCTCTTCTCGGAAGAACCTGCACAGGCTCTTATCTCCAAACTGTATTGAGTCGGCTGTAATTTTTTCGTGATTTGGTTTTATGTCACTTGTTTAGATGTAACTTTCGTGATGAAGTCTTTTGGCAGGAGACCGGCATGAGATTCCGATTTTTGACCGATTGGGATGTTCGATCGCTTGATACTTTTTCTGTATGGCACGGTTCACATGGATGCAATTGGTATGAGAGTCGCGGTATGGGTACTCTCCTGTTTACTAAATTCAACCGGCTCCCCTTCATCTCTTCTCTATCATCACCCACGTGGTTTAAAGACCTAGATGTTTCTGTCATATTTTTACAATGGACGAGTTTGTAGCAGTAGCTCTTTGGCATTTAATTAGACGAAAAACAAGTAAAAGTGGAGTAATGAGGGTTCACCCACATTTCGCCACGCATTTTCATTTTTAACTTTATCCGCATCTCGTGGTAACTGCTGTTCCAATAGCGTGGGATATGTTGAATGAAATTCGTTTGTCGTTATCCTAAATGTCACTTCTATCCATTTTTTCAAAGTTTCACAGAAGGCGTATGAAATGGCTTTGCATGTCCAGTCAATCGCCTTCATACATTAAAAACATCAAGCGACGAAAAATCGTAATCTCATATCGGTCGCCTGCGTCTCCCCGTCTGAGTGACCTCCTCGGTCTCCTCGATACCGACCTCTCATACCGATCCTCTCCGTCTGAACCGAGCCTTAGATTTTGTTGTATTTACTAAAAGTACTCGAGAATAAGAGGCGCAAAATGGAACAAGTCCAACGGCTGCTTCCAGGCCTAAAGAAGTATGGGAAAAGCCGGAAGTATTAGTACCGTATGATTCTGACAGTTCCTCTTTTCGAGTCAGGCATTTTGGTCTTGTTTTTGCACAGGATAGATGAACTTTTTTCTGCATCGTTCAATCACCTGCGATACAAAGAAAGCTATGGATTGTGCTCAAAACAACACTGCTCCCAAAATAACTGATTACCCTTTGGTAGAATACGACTGGTTTGATCGATTATTTTTTCAGACGGTGAATCAGTAGCTCTTAGCAGATATTACCACACTACAAACCCGGTGATTCGGCATTTAGCCATTTTAGAAAAACATTAAACGAATCATCTCGTAGAAATTAACCCAATATTTCTCATGCCATTAATAAGTATTATCGTCTCAAATCTATTTATTTACGTACCTCAACTTTACATCACACCATCCTTTTCATACAACAATAAACACGGCCAAAGGGCTACTTCACGGAATTATTACCTTAAGCCATGAATCATTTCATCACAAGAACATAAAGATATACAAACATATCCTCCATAACAATCACTACCGTAAACACATAATCAAAAGAATGACCAACAACTACAACTCAACACTAACACCATCTAATATTACTAATAATTCACTAATTTCGTGGTCCGCTTGACCAATTAATATATTACAATTAATTAAGGTTTTTAGTTGAGATAAAAAAGTCAATGGCACGAGCGGGGTTCGAACCCACGATCTTCGGCTTGATACGCCGCTGCTCTACCACTTGAGCTATCGTGACCTCGATCCACTCGGACACCAACTTCCCATCTCAACCGCACCTTTTGAATTTTCCCTCCTTTTTGCCATTTTTCAAGCCGTATCAAGCCGAAGATCGTGGGTTCGAATCCCGCTCGTGCCATTGACTTTTTATCTCAACTAAAAACTTTAATTAATTGTAATATATTACTAATAATACTACATCAGATCTATCAAATAAAGACAAACCGACATACATTTCCATGCCATTCATTCACGGCCTATCACATAAATTAACACATTTCTCTCTTCTGATAATTTTAAAATAGCCTTAAAAAATATAAAACAATTCGCACACTTTTTCCAAAATTAAAGAGCCACACTAGTAACAAATAAGTCTAATGTAATTTATAAAATCAATTGTTTAAACTGTCCGGCAACTTCCATCGGAATTACATCATTATATCAGTGATATATGATTGAAAAAAACCCAAGGAAAATCCTACAGCAATCGTTATCCACCATTTTGAACATAAATACAATTTCGACTTCAACAGTCCAAAAATATTACACACAGAACAAAACAAAAACAAACGTGACTTTTTAGAAATGGTTTACATCAACTGAGATAAGCACAGCATCAATTACAGAACAGACACATGTAAACTCAGTCGCAGCTACGCTAATATAATTAATCAAATTCAATATCGATAACATACATATATCATCATGACATCACACAAAACATAAAACAATAATTGCATTCCTCTCATCAAACATTTCTATATAGTCTAATTCTTCAACAATTTAGCTTTCCTTTCCCCAATTATCCCCGTATATATAATTCTGAAAGGATAATCAGGCCGAACCAGCACCCATTCTTTCCCATTGTCGGCTCCTTTCACCTCAATAAAACCGACTCCTCCTAAAAAATTTGTTTTTCTATCCCTATTTCCTTCTCCACCCCTTTAAAATTCAACCTATATAAACATAAAACATCATCTTATTGGTGCTCTCAACTTGACAGACAAGAATGACACATCCACACAGAAAACAAATATTTCGATTGGGCCTAAAATTTCTAGCATTGTATAAATTCACTTTTTTCACATCCTACATGTATTTGTATAAATTAAACAATGTTTATAAATCCCAGCCCTGAAGATGATCTCTTTAAAGATCGAAACGTTGATAAATAAAATGTTTTTCTAAAACATACGTCACACCAGACCGCATCTCACGATCTCTAAATAATTACTATTTATTCAATTTGGTTTTTGATCTAGATTAATGTGTTTTACTAACCCGCTAATTTATAGTAAAAAAAACGTTATTTTGTTATAGCTTAAAATGATATACCATACTAAGCAGTATCTCTATATTCTGCCGTGCGATAAAACGTATGATCTGAGTTGATCGTTGGTTAAAATTCTAAGGCGTGAGCATTTGAAAAATAAGGCATTTAATATGGGTAAATTCAGATCTTATTATACCAACCCGCTCAGAGCGTCAGCGAATGTGCCGAGGAATATCTCAATAAACTTTGGGGAAACGGATATTGGCTATGAAATATTGAGAAGCTCCGGGCGTCGGGCGACTCGGCCTGAATTCGGAAAATAACTTTACCCGTGGGAACGAAAGGCGGGGGACAGTGAATTTAAAGTGAAGGGGGTCGAAGGGACCTTACCAAATTTATGTTTTTCACTTTTTAGGACGCCGTCATAACTCTATTCGTGACGCTGTCATTATGCTAAGTGCGGGAGAAGAAAAACCAAAGTTTTATGCGATACTCGGCTCGAGAAAGTTTTTAACAACGTTTAGTGACCGTTGAGGCAATTGGTATTTTCCGGTGAACCGATCACTATTATTTAGAACGAGGCTTCCCAAATTGTGATCCGCCGCGAACTTAAAAATTAATTTTTTACTAAAATAAACCTAGAAAGAATAAGAAAACTAATTACAATGAGCACTGAAAACTATTTCAGCAGCAGTCATTGTGTTCTTCAGACATCCTTTAGCTATGAAACATTCAAAAAAGTTTTAGATGCGTCTGTGCAAATTATTAATTATTAATTAATTAAAAGAAAAACTCGAGCTTTCGAACGGCAAGTTGATTGATGAAATATGTGAACATCTTTCATGTTTGATGTCCTTTGAGCACTACTTCCACCAGCTGAATGGGTGGTCAAACCGTTTTCGGTTTCGACAAAGTCAACCAGTCTATCTTTCAGGGAATACGAATTTTGATAGAAATTACTTCAGACTCCATCTCGAGTACGATACTTAACCCAATTTTTGACCCCGGCAGGAAAACAAAAAGCATTTAGGTACGATTTGATACCTAAATGAATCAGGATTTTCTGTCTATACAGCCACCATAACTAAATGCCGAAGCTGATCCGGACAACCGTCTCCAGCTATCAAAAATTAAATTCAACATATCCAAATTGCGCAGGGTAACACAACCTCACTCTTCCCAATAATTCATTTATCATTCATGTTTAAATTATTACTGTTGATATTGGCACAATTTTTACATAACGATTCTGTACAATTTGATTTTTTGTTCGGAATTTTGTATATAAAATGTACATCAATCTAATGTTTGTTTTCATAGTGATATCCCCTTCCATAACCGAATTAGGAATGGACTGGCTAGTTTATAAAACTTTAATTATACACCATCTAAAAGTATGCAATTTTAAATACTTGAATGAGAGGGGTCCGCCCTGGAACTTATTCTGTGAAAGGAGTCCGCTGTCTAAAAGTCTGGGAAGCTCTGATTTAGAATAAGCGGATTATTAATCGTAATAATAGAAAAATGTTATGATAAGACTTGACATTCCACAAAAATGGAAACATTGTCTATTTGTAACAGGTCATAAACTAGGAAAAATAAAATTTGTCCTGAAAGGTTTTATAGCCCTCTGACTTTTTGTACTTCTCTAGTTCATTAGTTCTGTTAATCTGTCGATTTGATCCTTCTTTTAAGGAGTACTAGGTCATTGATTGTTGTTAATAAAATTTCTTTCCCTGGATGTTTCTTTTGTATCCCAGGTCATGTCTCCAGAGGTTGCTTCACATTCTAATATGAAATTTGGGGGTACTTCTTCCTCCTAATTGCATAATCTTCAATTGGGATAATGATTGAATATGCCCATCTATTCTCAGATGCCAGTGACCGATAAATAATCTTATCACTCCTGTGATTTTGGCCCTCCCCAACTGTAGCTGCGAGTTTACCAGTCTTTATGAAGGTTGTTTTAGCATAAGTTTACTATGTCCAGCGCACTTTGAGTTTATCTACTTCCCGTTTTGTCTTTTTTGGATCCATTCTGAGTTGGAGAATTCTGTATTTTTACCCAAGAATAGGTTATGGGCTAATGTGTAGTCTTGAAGAGTCTCATCTGGCCAAAGTGTCAGGACTTTCGTTACCGAAAATCTTTTTGGGTCCTCGCACCCAAGGTACTATCAGGTTGTTCTTTTTCCCCAGGTTTTGAAGATTTTGGATGAATTCACTGACTAATTTTGATGTGATTTTTTTAAGGCTTTAATAGCTGCTTGGCTATCCGATCTTGTGATTATTTTTTTGCCAGTGTAACCTCTTTAAAGGTTTTCTAAAGCATGTGGATCCTTCATGTGTTTTGGCGCCATCTGTGTACCATATCATTGCATTGAGTTCTCCTGATCATGTAGTCAGTCCCCATTTCTAAGAATGGGTGTATGGTTTCATTAATTATTGCATGGTGCCCGAAGTGTTTAGTTCCCGCCCAGTTTAACTGCTTCTGGAGCTTAAATGGACTTTCCCCCGCTTCTAATTGTATAAATATTTCCGATGTAGGTAGGTTTAGCAGAGTTTCTTGTGCAATTTAGGTGTGTGTTTTCATTGCTCCTGAGCTACATAGGTTTGGCTAGACTTTGTATGCTGTTTCATGTTTGGGTAACTTGTTTCTCCTGAGCTTTGGTCCATCAGCTTAGCCGTAGGATAATTTGGATCGTATTTCTGCAGAAGATAGCCAATGGCCATTTTCGACCCCAAGATTTACCTGCAGTTCTTCTTTATTCATTAAACTTATTAAACACTGATTTTTATTTCGACCAAAAGCTTTCATAAATATTAATTAATTGAAAAATGTTAATTGGTCAATCAGACCACGAACTGTAATGGATTTAATAATTAAACTGAAGTATATCTTCATGAAACCTCTCCGTGGCTATTTCATTTGTCGCCGAGAATCGAATAGATTACACGGAATTTGAAAAATGGCAAAAAGGAGGGAAAATTCGAGAGGTGAGGTTGAGATGGGAAGTTAGTGTCCGAGCGGATCGAAGTCACGATAGCTCAAGTGGTAGAGCAGCGGCGTATTTGGCCGAAGATCGTGGGTTCGAATCCCGCTCGTGACACTGACTTTTATCTCGACCAATAGCTTTCATAAATATTAATTAATTGAAAAATGTTAATTGGTCAATCCGACCACGAACTGTAATGGATTTAAACTTATTAAAGTTTGTAAAAGGCTACTTCTCAAAATAGTCCAAATCTATGAATTGAAGTTGAACAAACAACAAAAACTGGGGAAGAGGAGTAGCAACTTCTCAAAAATTTAACTGTCCAACTTGGTCCAATGATACCAGGCGCTAAATTTGATTTCGTTGTAAACTATTCATGTCCTCTCCAACAAAATGGAGTGGTAGACGAGAATCTATTGACATATGAGGACAAAGTATATACCGAATCAATATTATCAAAAGGTATTTAATAAAGTATGTCATGCTACTAGCTAAAATTAATACATACGAATAACCTTACCATCTAAAATCATTTGCTCTGGAGAACAGTAAAGCAGTATTGTTGGACCATTTCTCTACACCCTCTGGTGTTAGTAGCTGGGTTACCATCACATTACTTGGTCCGTCTTTTCTCCTGTTTACACTTCACTCATAAGTGTTTTTTCTTCGCAATATCTTCAGGGAGGAAATCCTAAATACACGGTTTACCGAAACTAGGACGGTAAACTAACGGTCATACGGCCCAAATTGACGATGTTTCTGTTCGTGTTGGAAGTTGTGATTCGACTGTTGTGAAGCTCCAAAAACAACTGAACTAAGTTGAGAGATGGCCAAACTGGATAAAAAGACATATCACACTTTAACTTGGTTGCATGCACTCAGGAAAACACAGGAAAGTGTATAAATTTATAATTGACTGGAAATCCGGTTACGCAAAGCCACAACGCAACATAACTTTGATAAGACAATCAACAACCAATGAGATCAGATGTTACATTTACGGTGAATACGTATGAGATAGGATGGCGTAGCAAATTCCTGCTCTGGACCCATCTTTATATTTTTTTAAATTTAGTTAACCTTTAATGTTCACATTAAGTGCAAATACGAAAAAGAAATCATTGTTAAATTTTTTTTCAGGGACAGATGTGAATTGAACGGGACGGCATCACTGAGCAGGGAGGAGCGTCGGCGGCGGAGGCGTGCCACGGCCAAATACAGAACAGCTCATGCAACGCGAGAACGGGTTCGCGTCGAGGCGTTCAACGTAGCTTTCAGCGAACTGCGTAAGCTGCTGCCGACCCTGCCACCGGACAAAAAGTTATCCAAGATAGAAATCCTGAAACTGGCCATCTGCTACATCGCCTACCTGAACCACGTCTTGGACGTCTAGCCCGAAGAAGGGCCTGCCGACCGGTCGTGGCCCACTTTCGACTTCTAAACTCAATCCGAGCTCGTTCTCGAATCAATAATCACGTCTTTTCCGATCAATATGGCCGATTTGCAGTGACGAATTTGTCTGGTTTCAAATTTCTGATGTATAGCGTAAAGGGAGAAGACTGAAAATTTTACCAATTCCTTGAATGATTGGTGTTAACTATGTCAACTAATGTGTTTCGTTAATCTAATCTTTGTAAAATATAGTATCGTACATAAAGTAACGGTAAGTAAGTGCAACGGATTCTGGCCAAATTGCGCTTAATAAACCATTAATGGGTGCTCATGGTTACTTGCAAACTGCAGTTCTGAGGGATTTCAAGTGATCAAATAAATCAAGTTTTTCCCATTAATTTTTAATGAAAATTGATTTCTTGCTGTATTGGTCGAGCCTCACTGCAGATCAGCCCAAATGAAATTTGGACGAAAGTACAGAGTAACTAATCTTTTTATGTAAGATTTTGGTTGAAATGAAAAAGCTAGTGTGACGAACGGGATTCGAACCCACGACTTTCGGCTAAATACGCCGCTGCTCTAACTACTTGAGCTATCGTGACTTCGATCCACTCGGATACCAACTCCCCATCTCAACCTAAAACCTTTCGAATTTTCCCTCCTTTTTGCCTTTTTTTCAAGCATTTTTCAGCCGAAGGTCGTGGGTTCGAATCCCGCTCGTGGCACCAGCTTTTTCATCTCAACCAAAACCTTACACAAAAAGATTAATTAATTAAACGAAGTAATTTGGTCAATCAGGCCGGTAAATATAATGGATTTAATAAGTACAGAGTAACCTTCAATCACTTTCGCCAACTTAAGTCATCGTAACCAATTACTTTTTTATTCGAGACTTCCGGGGTAAATAAGTGTTAACAAACTGTTGTGATAAAGTTTATTTGCAACTTTCAGTAAAAAAAGAATTATTTTATGTTTAAATATGTTAGAAAAATAGTAATAGTAAAAACTATATCGGCTTTAAAATGCACCAATTCATAATTCAAGGGGCTGTTACTATCCATTCTAGTAAAACACGCGATTTTCGTGATTTATAAACTTATTCTTAAGAATTTATTTAAAAACAAAAAAGCTTTATGTACGCAGCAAATTCCAATTAAGGCTTGATCTTCTATTAATATGTTTATAAATAGTAAATAAAAAAAGCTTTCTTTAAAAATTACAAATAACGTTTTTAGCATAAGTTTTGACGTTTGACAAGTTGACAAATTTGATTTTTTTATTGTGTATATTCCGATATAAATATGTTGTTAGTAATCGATAATTATAAAATTGTGTTTAGTAGTAAGGCTTATTAGGAAGGATATGTCACTCTAGTCAATATAAGTTCCTATGTGAATGTAACAAATGTACTAAAAAATAACGTGCAATAGTAATGCGTTTTTGTGTTTTGTATAACCTTTGAATACCTCAATTTAAGACATCAGATTGCTTATCCAACCGAGAGGACTTAATAAATGTTGATTGCTTCGTAATGGTTCATCTATCCGAAAAGCATTGGGGAAACGAAAGTCACGGTAGATCACTGCAAAAATATTTCGACTTTAATCAAAGTTCTATAAAGAAATGTATTTTTTCATCGATTCTTACTTGTTTACATACTATCTTAGGGAAACGTCAAACCTCGAGATAAACTGTTTAAAAATGAACAGGGATATCGTCAATTTTGTAGAATTTACTTTCCCTAGCATTTTAATTTTATTTTTATTATAAATAGCATTAAAATGTATAAATTATAATGTTTTTTACTGAAGGAAAATTTAATTACGGGATTTTGCAAAATAACAAAATAAAAGATCATACTTTGATTTTATTGGACACAGTAGTATAAATAATTAATACTGTGTGTAATGTCCTCTGTTAGTTAAAATTTCCATGCACCTGCTGGGCATACTGTCAATAAGGTTATCACTAATTCCGTAAGGAATTTCACTCCATGGATTCAGTTGTTGCAAGTCAACTGGCTGCGTTGGTGATCGAAAAGCTCTGCAACGCATCCCACATGTGATCATGGGATTGAGGTCTGGACGTAATAGGGGAAGGGGCAGATGGAAAATTTCCAGGTTTTCTAAACATTGATGAACAACTCTTCCTCTATGAGGTCTGGCATTGTCATCCAGAAATCGAAAACCTCAACCAATGAAATCCCGGTTTGAGGGATGTATTCCTTGATAATTTCTTGGACATAACGGTCTGCGGTGAGGTTGCCTTCTACAATATGATATCCAGTTGTTCCTCCAGTGTAAATCCCAGCCCAAATCATTAAACCGCCTCCTCCAAACTACACTGAAGGGAACACGAACTGGGGCATTGTATGCATCTATTTGTCTGGGTAGACTCTTCGGCGCCTGCTATCACTACACAGACAAAAACGCGACTCATCAGTAAACATAACAACATTCCAATCGTGTTCTCATCTAGGCGCTCGCTTGAGTCTATTTTCCTGAGTTGCTGGTGGCGGGCTGTTCCTGTAGGTCGTCTCAAAGGGACATATGTTGAGAGGCGGACTTCGTAATCGTTTGTGTTGATAAAGTCATTGCCAATACGTCTTGTACTTCATTTAGGATCTAGAAGGCACTATGGAAAGGGTTTCGTTTTGCAGCAATGACAATATTTCTGTCCTCCCTTAGCATCCTAATGCGTTGAAATCCACTACCACTACTATTGGCACTTCCAGTCTCTCGGATTCGGGCTAAAGCCCGGGAGACCATGCTCAGAGAAACGTCAATTGCCCGCCTCTATGATATCCACTTGCCGGTGACCTAGATAACTCATCTTCACAATAATATGAGTATCTTCACAATAACCAAACTTCTGGCTCAGGATGACGTCTTTCAATGGTTAAAGAGAATACAATTTGGTTAAAATGGAGAAATGACGAGAAAAGCGTAAAAATTTTCAAGCGTTTCTTATAGTTTGCTACATAGAAAATTATGCTTTCAGGTCATTGAAGTTTCATCTTATGCCTGTATCATCAAAATTCCTCAAAATTAGTTGTATTTTCGTTTATTTATAATTCCTTTTCATTTTGTTCGGCCTGTCCTCGATAATTTGATCAATCAAGCTAATTTCGGCTTCTCACCTTCTGCAGTGGTCGATTATAGTCATGTAATTTCAGTAAATTTTATTTAGCTTTTATTTGTTTTAACAGTTTCCTCATTTGGAAGTGTCTTTCAACCAAAATAATTCAAAACTTATTGCAATGTTCAATTAATTCCCTTTTTCATTTCTTCCTGTCTATGTGTTCCTACCTCATCACATGATCATTAGTTGTTTTCATTCAGCTTCTCTACAAAAAATTAAATTAAACAACTTACGGTCATCTGAGAAGCATCAGATATGAACTCATCCTTAACTCATCCAGCTTTTTTTATAATGTTTTGAAGTATGTTTTGATGGAGCAACATTAGCTCTCGAGTTTCAATATTGGTCGTTCTTTCTAACCGGACACCTGGCAGTTATCCTCCAATATTTCATCACTATGACAACTAATTTCCTTTCCTAACACTTCATTTATCGTTCAAGTCTCCGCTCCATGGAGTACACAAATTATACAAAATTTAGACAATGAACTTATAAGTGAGGTCCTTGATAACTTTCGTAACTTATCTACTCGACAGGAGCGAATTCAGTACCGATACATTTGCGGGTCGTACTTATACTTCTTTTTTTCTCTTTTTCAGATGTATTGTTTTTCTCCGTTAAAATGCCTCATATTGAAAGTTCTTGAACCTTTTTTATTAGTGTTCCTTCAGTAATAAAGACATCCTGGTTGGTAAAGTATGTTCATGTATTCGGTTTTACTGAAGTTTATTTGGAGGCCTCAGCTAGAAGATGATTCCAAACTTTTCCTCAGCATGTATTCTGCAACATTGTGGTCTTGTTCAATGATCACTTGGTCCCAGCAAACAATCGATTGCACACATAGCATCGTCTATTTTTATCCCCATTTTCTTATCAAAAGGTGGGGTTGAGATAGGAAGTTGATGTCCGAGTGGATCGAGGTCACGATATCTCAGGTGGTAGAGCAGCGGCCTATCTAGCCGAAGATCGTGGGTACGAATCCCGCTCGTGCCATTGACTTTTTTATCTCTACTAAAAACCTTAATTAATTGTAATATATACATTAACATTGTACACAATGGTTTAGTGGAGTTTCGGGCTAGCGACACTAACCTCCAGTTGGTTTCGATATATCTTAAATTTTTTTTTTATTATTTACATTATTTTCTATTGATCAAATGAATAATATAAATCTACAGTTTGGTGGTATAACGGCCCTCTTGCTCTCGCTGTTTAGTCATTTCGCCATCATCAGTGCCCTATGACCACACAATAGCCAATACTGATGGTCTGTGTGCATTTTTGAAAAACGAAGGGCTAAAGCGGTGTGATGATGATTTGAGTTTTGTTTATATTCAATGTAAATATTATTATATATAAACATTATTTATAAGAGCGAATTGATTTTTTCCTATTCCTTGCTGGTAGTTATTTCGTTCGAAACTTTGCACACTCGTAAAATGGTAAGGTTACAATCCTTCCGGACGGAGGGTATCCCAAACTCTCCATTGTGAAATACAAGGCCTGTACATAACGCGCGTGTACTGGTTTCACGATCACGATTAACAGAATGCAAAATTTTCTCATCTACATCAATTCGCTGATTGTCTCTGTTGAAGTCGTTGGAAGGGGTGATCTGCTGGAACGTCTCGATGTGGAAAACGAGCACGAATCTCCTGGAAAATTGAGCGTGTCGCCAACCTTCATGGACAAAAGTTTTTTCATCAAAATGGAAAATTTTTGGGCCTTCCAGAAGGGCAATCCAAAAAAGTCGTGTATACCGCTGGAAGCTAATGGAATGGGGAACGTTTGAGGGAATTTGCAAAGCTCCAGGAGTTTGTAGTTATTAACAGTTACCAATCCAACATTTTCAGAAAATTTCAAATGTCAACATTTTTGTTTTTTCTGAATTTTTCGTGCAGAACTTTTCCATCAATTCTGCAATGTAAATGAGTTTTCTTACAGAAAATTTAACGTTCTTTCAGGTGGCCCCAATCAGATTTTTCTACAGTCAGCAATTCTGATGTTTGTATGCAATTTAGTGGACCTAAGTCGAAAAAAAACCAAAACCTAAAATTACTTCTTTACCAGTGAGATTTGGCCAGGGGTTTATGGAAAGTTTTTTGTCGCATATGGTGAGTAGAAACACCTGAAATTTTCGTTACTTATCGCCAGTCACCCTGTATATAAATTCTGACTTCTTATTCAGTTGGAAAAGTATAGAATTTCTTCATAAGAAGATATTAAGATGTTTTTGTAGTAAGTGATTTGGTAGCGAAATAGATGTAGCATTATAAAAACGACCGANAATCGATAAAAAGCGAAATTACTCTGAAATGGTTGAGAATCGGACCATGGACAATATGAACTTTTTTGTTCATTTTAGG